GCCGGATAGCTTTTAGTATTTTGGTTATAACTTTCTCTCCTAATCTTCAATTGAAGTGATTCAAAGTGAATGTGAAAGAAATCTCAAAGATCTACACTTTTGATAGAAATAGGCTTTCTCAAATTCTAATGTTTACTATGCCAAAAATGGATCTCAAGTAGAGACTAAAATCACGAGTATAGCTTTTTCGCCTGAAAGTTAATATTTGATAATACTCAACCATATTTCACCTCTTTGACTCCTTTCCTCATCCAATTGACCTCTAACGGACTTGAATCTTCATTCTATGTGGTCATCTCATCTAAGGATTATTTGCAACTTGGTCCTCGAACTTTCAGTTTGATTCATTTTGGTCCTTTTACTTCTTTATCTCGTGAATTCCATGAAGTCCATCATTATACCCTACAATCCAACAATTGAATGAATTTAAGCCACAATTAAATTATTTTGCTCGTAATTTAGTCATATTTGTGCATTAAATAAGTGCACAAAAACGCACTTATCAAATCCTCCAAACTTGAACTTTGTTTGTACTCAAACAAGCTAGTGACTTAAATATCAACAAACATGGCTTAATAACCTGCCTTATCTCAAGATTGGAATTTAGTAATTAACAAAGGAAACAATTTCAATAATGCGAGAATAGAATTTATCTTTACTTGTCGGGTGCAAAACTCATCGTGTGTGTGTGTGTGTGTGTACTCATACCAACATAGCCAGCTCATGATTGGTTCAATCCCGACCCCAAAATGGTCAAATATGTCCTTACTTCGCTCGAGAGATACACAACCCCCCAAACTTATTCTTTTCACTCAATCATCCCGGAGTTGTGTTTTAAAGTTAAAAGCATAAGTGACAGTAGTCCTTGCCCTCTCTTTGTTTGGATAGATCCTACCATTACAGGATCACATGTCAATAAGTGAAGGCTCTCCTAGGTTTGATTGCTTTAACACTTGAGATTATACTAAGTTACTTGTCTCGCCTTGAAGGTGTGATTCTTATCAACCGAATGTCCAAGGGCTTTATTCGTACCATTATATTCTGTAATTTTTTTTAATCCTTCTTCTCATTTGCTTTCTATATAACCCCTGTAATGAACTTTAGGCCGATAACTCCCAAACCAGTTGGCTTTAGGGCACCAGATTTTAAACCCTTGCAGGCTTATTTACTCGAGTTATAAAGGCTCGATCAGATGATTTTTTATTGACCTCTTTCCCTCTTGCTTTCTATATGACCCCTGTAGCGAGCTTTAGGTCGATGAATCCCAAACCAATTGGTTTTAGGGCACCAGATTTCGAGATATCCTTAAAGGCTTACTTGCTCGAGTCATAAAGGCTTGAAAATGTGTCTTATTTTCATAACTTACTTTCATGCCCCTTCATTATTTTTCTAGACATTTGGTTTCTGGAATCAACCCCCAATTCAAGACTTTCTCCTAGTTTTCATCTCACTTGTCTGGGCAATCCACATAACGTAATTCATGCACGGAGCCCCCACTTATTTCAATGTTCCCCTATAATTGTTAAACCGTCTCCAAACTATTCAATATAGTATTTTGGTTTATGGATCTACATTATGGCTGAATCTAGTAGAGGTTTTCTGGTTTCTTCTGCTTTTTAAACCTAATCACTTACCTGACATGTATGGTATGAGTGGCGTGCATATGGAATGTTAAGTACTACCCCAACAAGTATCAGTTAATTAAATTCTGCACTATATTCACAGTTCCTAAAACATACCTATTCAAATTATCACATCATTGCTGGCAAGACTATCAAACCCACACAGGCATGCAATGACCCAAATACAGCATATTAAGGCAATAATCACTCGTCAAGCACACAATGTTCAACCAGTGTCACAGAATTGAAAATTTACATTACATGCCGATAATTGTAGCTTTGAAAGGGTCACGTTCAAAATATGCCACCACCCCCAAAACTTATACATTACATTGCCTTCAATGTGAAAAATAAAAGTTTCAAAATGCATAATTTTGAAGGACAAGTGTAATTTAAAACAGCAAAATGAGTTAAAATAAAACTCTCGTGATCAATATGGAGGTGGTGGTGGGAAGATATTTCCTGCTGTACCATCATCTGGAGGTGGAGGTAGGCGCGCTAAAATCTCTCTCATCAACGCTGACTGCTGCACCATCTAATTTTGTATTCCACCAACACATGTCTTCATGCAGCCCAGACGCTCCCAAGTCTAATTCACTCGCATCTGGATGCCATCCACCCGGCCCACATACATACTCAGTCGACCGTTCATAATTTCATCTCCCTCCTGGCTACCTTTGAACCTAGGTGAGCGACTCGTGCCATATCAGTGCCGATGCGGATGTCACGTCGAGCTGTCTGCATGTCAGTCGTCAAGCCCCCATAGCCTGCTGGAGATCCTGTATGTCGTGGCTAGTTTTCGTGGCGGCGGCGAATATCTGATGCCACAACTGTGTATCCACTTCAATCTGTGGTGGTGAGGCTTGTGGCATCTCTTGATCTCCAGGCACCTAACCCTGCTCGTCCTGTTGCCTGCGACGCTCATCCTCTTGCTTTTCCCCGTGCTTTATCCTAGCTCTGTCTTGAGCTTCCAGTGTACTACGCTTTATAATGGTGCTGGGTTTTGAAGGTGTCTCCCCTGGTGTAATATTAACACTAGCAACCATGCATATGCCGGAGATGAGGCTTGGAAAAATCATTGAGTTGTGCCAGTCTCCTAGAGTACCCATGTGATGGATCTGATTATAGCAGAGAGTGGTGAGATCGATCTTATTTTCCCACACCAAGTGATAGATGAACCCGGCTGTGGGATCAGTGAATGTAGTCCTATGCGAGGTAGACTTAATGTTATGGCACATAAACAGCCACAAGATGGCTATAGACGGTGTCAACTCAATCTGGTGACATTCAGTGATGGGGAGTAGCCATGCATTTTGTCGCCCCAATAAGATCTCTACCACTTCATCCCAATTGAAATCACCCGGGATGGGGGTTATGTTGTCCCACGTGAGCTGATAGTAGTCTTGAATAACCTTTGGTGAGAACATAATCCACTATCCCCTGACCCATGTCTGATGCAAGTGGTCGGACCCTGGTGTGTCGATCTCTGTAATGAAATTTACATAAAATTCTCCCACCAATGATCATAGATCTGATGTGGCTGCTCTATTACCTTTTCCCACCACAGTTATCCACCAAGGTGATCAACTCAAAATTTGGAAAATCCTCAAATTTTAATCGCTCGCTCTGGTGTTACTATCCACCTACTCACAATGTTTTCATAGTGAGCTGCTGTCCCAAAATTCAGAAATCTTTGTATCCCCCCTTCAAGAACTCGAGTAAGGGGTGTTCCGGAAGATGAGCCAACTTTTTCTTTCCCTTTCAAGGTTCGTTAAGGTGGCATCCTGTAAAAATCAATGTTTTAATGTCAAAACCATAGAATGGAAAGAAAAAGGTATGTCAAAAACACGAAAGTTGACTTTAGATGCACGACATCCCCAAACTTACTCCTAGATGTATATGTAACATCTTGGTGTGCAATATTCAAAATAGGATGTTCAAGATAGTATAAATATTGCGCCAATATGAAAAAAAACTAGGCCGAAACATGCACATTTTAAAAATTGGATCCATGACTGAGTGCGCACTTTCGGCCCCGGGCATCATCGAGAATTATCGAAATTTTTTCGGGAAATCTCCAGGAATATGAAAGTATTCAATGAGGTCTAGCATATACCCAAATTTCAAATCAATTGGATTTCGTTTGGTATGTTAAATGATGGTGTAAAGTAGGGGACGTAGGGTGCCGTGACCTGTCGTGACATAGCCATGTGCCTATGTGTTGCCAAAATGAATATAGATGTTTTTCAAGGCCTTTCATGAGATATCACATTGTTTGATTACTATTCATATCAATTGTGATGCATGACAGGGATAAAGTTCTCTAAATTGCATGAATCTCGTCACTTTAGCATTTAATTGAACATATTGCGTGCACTATGATATGTGTCCTATTTTGTCTTTTGAGGTGTTATTATGTATCTCCCACATTCACATGTTAATCCAAACATAACATAACACTCATTCTTAGCCAATTAATGAAAGTTAAGATAATGCAAATCTCAAAATTCGAAAGTTGTAGAGTAGAGTGTAGGGCGCTTACCTTGAAATCTTGTGTAGAATTGTAGGATTGAGAGTCTTTACTCATTTTAATGCGTGATGGAGCAAGATTAGTATGTGGTTTTTGTGTTGATTTCACGGGTTGAGGGTTTGGGAGAGATGAACGAAGGGGGAGGAGAGGGGAATGAGAGTTGTGTGTGAGTATGTGTTTTAAAAAATATTTTTTTTTTCAGAATTACTCTATGCGATCGCATAGGGATAAGGGTCAGGGCGACCGCATAGATGTTTAGTCTATGCGATTGCATAGACTAAACGTTTTTATTTTATTATTTATTATTATTATTTTTTTTTAACTAAATGCACGTGAAAATTTTTTTAGAACACAATTGATTTCCCAAAATTCAACCCTGACCAAATTTTCCTCCAAATTCTTGGTTTTCAACTTGTGACTTCGGACTGGCCTTTCATCGTCCCCCAAAATTTATCAAAACACATTAGATCATATGGGGCACGAGTAGGTCATTGACTTAGTTCCCAAAATCACTTTTTTAAAATTGAAGTCACCCTTTAATCCCCGAAGAACTTCGAAAAATACACTTTCTGCCTCAAAATGCGTGATGTTCACATTCAATCACCTAAACACTAAATCAGTCATTCCTAACTTGTGCTCGATGAATAGGGACCCGTGTGGGTAGTGCTTAGACTCAATTGACATGCATGGATGATCGATGACCTAAACCTAAAAAAAAGGCAAATCAAATGTGAAAATTAAAATTTTCTGAGCTAATGCAAAAATTAAAAGTAATGAAAAGGATACAGTGGGTTGCCTTCCACCCAGCGCTAGTTTATAGTTTATAGCTCGACTCCTCCACTTCTGCTTCAATTTGGCATTCCGAGTTGGACGGTGGATTTTTGTTTTGAGAAATCCCCTCCCCAGTAGTGTTTCAGCATTTGCCCATTAACTGTGAATGTTCCTTTTGTTTCATGGCTGACCTGTATAGCTCCATATGGCAGAACTTTAGTAACAGTGTAGGGTCCCGACCACCTTGATCTTAATTTTCCAGGGAAAAGCTTGAGCATCGAGTTATATAATAGGACTTTCTGCCCTACTTCGAAATTTCGTCTCTGAATGTGTAGATCATGCCACCTTTTGCATTCTTTGATAAGCTTCGAGTTTTCATATGCTTTCATTCTTAATTCATCTAGCTCATTGAGTTGCAATAAACGCTTTTCACCGGTGACTTTCAAATTCATGTTCAATTGTTTCATAGCCCAGTATGCCCGGTATTCTATTTCCAGTGGAAGGTGACATGTTTTTCAAAGATTAGGCGGAATGGAGACATGCCTATCGACGTCTTGAATGCTGTCCTATATGCCCACAATGCATCGTCCAGTTTTTTTGACCAGTCTTTTCGGGATGAATTTACTGTGACCTCTAATATTCTCTTCAGTTGCTAATTGGACACTTCGACTTGCCCATAGGTTTGTGGATGATATGGGGTTGTAACTCGGTGTTTAACCCCATATTTACTCAATAACTGCTCAAATTGGCGATTACAAAAATGTTTGCCCCCATCACTGATTATTGCTCGTGGTGTATCATATCTGGTAAAGATGTATTTCTTCAAGAACTCAATTACCATTTTTGCATCGTTCGTTGGCAACACAACTGCCTCCACCCATTTTGACACATAATGAACTGCTACCAAGATGTACTGATTTGAAAATGATGGGCAAAAAGTCCATAAAATCGATTCCCCATACGTCAAATATCTCTACTTCCAATATGCTGTTCAATGGCATCTCATTCCTTCTTAAGATGTTCCCAGTGCGTTGACATCAATCACACCTCTTAACATATTCAAAGGTATCTCTGAACAATGTAGGCCTTTAAAACCCTGACTGTAAAATCTTAGCTGCAGTCTTTGAAGCCCCCATATGTCCTGCATAAGCAGATGAATGACAATACTCAAGAATTTCAGGTACTTCATCTTCAGGTATACATCTTCTCACAATCTGATCAGCACCTCGCCTATAAAGAATAGGATCTTCCCAAAAATAATATTTCAGCTCGGCAAAGAACTTCTTCTTCTGGTGACTCGAGTAATCTGACGGTGGGACTGACCTAGCCAAATAATTGACGATGCTTGCATACCATGGGGCTTCTTCTACACTGAGCATTTGCTTATCTGGAAAAATTTCATTAATTTCCACTGACGTTTCTGGCTCTTCTTGTTCTAACCTCGATAGGTGATTTGTTACCACATTTTCACTGCCCTTCTTGTCCCTAATTTCAATGTCAAATTCTTGCAACAGTAACACCCAATGAATTAACCTGAGCTTGGCATCCTTCTTTGTCATTAGATACTTCAATGCAGTGTGATCTGTGTAGACTATGACCTTAGACCCCACGAGATATGATCTAAATTTGTCAAAGGCATAGACCACCGTCAAGAGCTCCTTCTCAGTGGTCACATAGTTGATCTGGCATCATTCAATGTTCGACTTGCGTAATATATTACATGAAAAATCTTGTTCTTTCTCTGCCCCAATACTGCGCCTACGGCATGATCACTAGCATCGCACATTAACTCGAAAGGCAACTCCCAATCAGGTGCTACAATTACTGGCGCTGACGTGAATTTCTCCTTCAAAGTGTTGAAAGCTTTTAGACATTCCTCATTAAATTCGAAGGGCACGTCTTTCATTAACAGGTTGCAGAGGGGCTTGGTGATTTTTGAAAAATCTTTTATAAATCTCATGTAGAATCTAGCATGTCCCAAGAAGTTGCGAACCCCTTTAACTGATGTTGGTAGTGGTAACTTTTCAATAACTTGAATCTTTGCTTTGTCCACCTCAATCCCTTTTGCTGAGACCCGATTCCCAAGCACGATCCTCTCTTGCACCATGAAGTGACATTTTTCCCAGTTTAATGCTAAATTGGTTTTCTTGCATCTTTGTAATACCAGATTCAAGTGTTCCAAACACTCATCAAATGAAAACCCGAAGACCGAGAAGTCATCCATAAATATCTCAATAAATTTCTTTACCATGTCTGAGAAAATTGCCATCATACAACGTTGAAAAGTGATAGGGGCGTTGCAAAGGCCGAAAGGCATCCTGCGGTATGCGAAAGTACTGTATGGGCAAGTGAATGTAGTTTTCTCTTGATTGTCTGGTGCCACTGGTATCTGATTGTAACCTAAATACCCGTCGAGGAAGCAGTAATATGAGTTACCTGCCAATCTCTCCAGCATTTGGTCTATAAACGGAAGGGGAAAGTGATCTTTCCTTATTGCTACATTGAATTTGCGGTAATCAATGCAAACCTTCCATCATGTGATTGTTCTGGTTGGCGTGAACTCATTTTTCTCATTGGGTACTACCGTTATTCCTCATTTCTTTGGCACCACCTGAACTGGGCTAGCCCATGCACTATCTGATATCGAATATATGATTCTAGCATCAAGAAGTTTGAGTATCTCTGCTATGACTACTTCTTTCATATTTGGGTTCAACCTTCGCCGACTTTCTATGGTTGGTCGAAAATTCTCTTCCATGAGAACCTTATGCATGCACAGTGAGGGGCTGATCCCTTTGATATCTGCTATGGTCCATCCAATTGCCGTCTTATTCTCCCTGAGCACCCTAAGCAGTTTCTCTTTTTCCACTTCGCTAACTGTGTTCGAAATGATCTCAGGGAGTGTATAGGATTCCCCCAAGTAAGCATATCTGAGGTATGGTGGTAACTGCTTGAGTTTTAATTTCGGTGGCTGCTGAATGGATGGTAGTGGTTTCGTAGGTCCTGTTCCAAGCTCCTTAAAATGCCTTTTTCGCGTATCAGGTAAGTTGGTATCCAGAAACCTTTCACAAGTCTCCATCTCCATTGAATCAGACCGCGTTGACTGCGAATGTGTAATGCAAGCTTCATATGCATCTGATGGGTTGTGTAACAAAAAGGAGTCTTGGATCACCCGTTAATCACGTCGATTCAGAAACAGCTGTCTGTTTCTATAGGTAGTTTCATTGCCTTGAAGACATTAAACGAGATCTGCTCTTCTCCCAATCTTAATATCAGTTGCCCGTGCTGAACGTCAATCAAGGCTCTTCCTGTTACAAAAATGGTCTGCCCAGTATCAATGGAATATCCTTGTCTTCTTCCATGTCCAAGATTTGGAAATTCGCAGGGAATATGAATTTTTCCACCTTAACAAGCGCATCTTCAATTATTTCCCTGGGATGTATTAACGATCTGTCAGGGAGCTGGAGCGTTATAGTAGTCACCTTAGCCTCTCCCAAGCCAAGTTTCCTAAAAATAGATAGAGACATTAAATTAATACTTGCACCAAGATTACACAAAGATTTATCAAAATGAACTTCACCAATAGTATAAGGAACAGTAAAACTCCCCGGATCTTTCAATTTTGGTGGGACTTTTTTTCTGAATTCTGGTGCTACATTCCTCTGTTGATATTACTGTTTCGTGATCCCCTAGCTTGCGTTTATTTGATAATATGTCCTTCAGGAATTTTGCGTAGCTAGGCATCTAGAATAATGCATCGGCGAGTGGGATGTTGATGTGGAGTTTCTTAAAAACTTCAAGAAATTTCTTGTATTGTTGCTCCAACTTCTTCTTTTTCAGCTTTTGTGGAAAAGGTATGGGAGGTTCGTGAGGGTTAATGGTTGCTTTACTTTGAGTTTTGTTCGATTTTTCAGTTGGGGTGGATTTTTCCATCTGTTCATCATGCTCTATTGGTTCTTCTATAGTTGGAAATTTTGTTTCTTCGATTTGCATCTGGCCTTTTTACGTGGATTTCTGGTAGTTGCTTTCTAGTTCAAGTTGTAATTGCCTTAGCATGCTCCTTCGGGTTTATTTTCGTGTTACTTGGCAAGTTTCCCGGTGCTCTGTCAATCAATGCTATGGCTAATTGTCCCACATGAGTTTCCAAATTTTTGATAGCTGCATTTTGGTTATGAAGTGTAGCTTCAACCTTCTCCGTGAATTTTTCTATCATTTCTTCCAACTGAGGTTTCTTCTCTTGCTATTAAAATTGTCCCTGTGGCTTGTTTTGATTCTGGTTGCTCCAAGAGAAGTTGGGATGCTTCTTCCAACTCGGATTAAATGTTTCCCCATATGTGTTATTTTGTTGTTGCTGCCCCATTGAGCATAATCTACATGCTCTGCTCCTTGTTCCAAGATTGGAAATTCTGCTGTTACATGCTCAGCTCCACATTCTTCACAACTGGCCTTTTTCGATTGTGCTACGTTAGCTGATTGTGTCATATTTTCCACCTTGTAAAATAATGAATCAATATTTACTGACAAGGCGGAATAGACGTCCACTTCATAAACCCCTGGTGTCTTCTTTTGAACCGCTCGTTCCGATGTCCACATAGCTGAAGTGGGGGCCATGGTCTCGAAAAGTTTCAGTGTTTCATCAATTATCTTTGTGGACAGTGATCCGTTCGATGATCAGTCAACCATGCTTTTAAAGGCTGGAAGTAATCCCACATAGAAGTATTGGACTTGAAGTCCCTTGCTAATCCCATGGTGTGGACACTTTCGCAGCATATTTTTGAATCGATTCCATGTTTTATCGAAATTTTCAAAGTCGCCTTGGCGAAAAACAGAGATATCGTGCTTGAGCTTCACGATCTTAGTCGGTGGGAAGAACTTGGTGCAGAATTTTTGTGCTAGATCGTTCCATGTGGTGATGCTTGCGAATCTAGCCATTTAATTGCCTTGTCGCGCAGTGTATGTGGGAACAACCTTAATCTTATTGCATTGTCTGAAATTCCTTGATATCTGAAGCGTTGGCACATCTCCAGAAAACGAGAAACATGCGTGTGTGATTCTCTTCAGTCCTTCCATAGAATTAATGACCGTTTTGAAATAATTGTATCACATTAGTCTTCAGTTGGAAGTTTGGATGTCCAAACGGTGGATATACGATGCTTGACTGACTTTGAATTATCTGAGGGGTCATGAAATCTCCCACGAGCATATTTCCTTCATCCGCTGCCCCTTCTTCATTAGCCGAAAAAATTTGATTATTCTGCACGTTAGCCATTCATTGATGTATCTCTCTGTTTTCTCGCTGCCTTCGATGGAAAGTTCGTTCAATTTCTGGATTAGCTGGTGTCAATTCTCCTTCAGCAGATCTTGTCATGCAAATCTGCAACAAGAGCTAATAGGAGTGCTTAGATGTTAAAATGAAATAATAACAACAAATCAAAATGAAGTTAATTGAAATAAAACACAACAAATAACAGGAAATGTAAATAAGGATGTTCGAATTAGTGCCAATTTAGATAAAATTAAACGAATACTCAATCCTCGATAACGGCGCCAAAAACTTGTTCACGAAATATTTTCTTTCAGTTAAGATCACCGCAAGTGTACGGTTCGTTAACAAGTAATAAAGTGAATTTGAAGAGTTCGAATATCGTCCTACAGAGATTGAGTAGTTCAATTTTACCTAGTGTAGCCTTAACCGAAACGAAATTACTCAATATAAATATCTAACTAAATAAACCCTAATTGTAGAAAGAAAACCATAATGTTATGAAAACCCTAATTATGCAAAATTTAAGATTGAAATGAATTCAAATATGCAAAACGATATTTTAATAAATTAAAATG